ACAAGCAGTTGACTTAAAAAAAAAATCACTTCAGCAAATGTGGAAGAAAAAAAACGGTTTCCATATAATTTGTGTTGCAACTGAGTAAAGATTTCCCCCAAAAGTTTCACATACTTCTGTCTGGGACATCTGAACAAAAAAGAAAAAGTTGTCTATGGAGGAAGCTCCCCGCTTTTCACATTGGAAAGAGCGGGAGACGAAGGGGAAAAAGACGCTTTGCTCTCAAAGATGGTGAAAATTATCATCAGAAAGCGACGGTATAATCTTTCCTGAATAGAATTCTATTACAATATGGCACAGGGAGATAAATGCCCGCGCTGTCAGAAGCGAGCAAGCCGGCTTAAATGGGCTCTTAAATAGGAATCAGGCAGCCTGTTAACTGTTCCACAAAGTAAGAGAGCCCGACAATCACACAAAATACTAAAAAGGGAGGGGGTAAGATTGAAGTGTGGCCCCCACAGAGATGAAAAAATAGCATTATTAGGTTCATTTTCACTCAGCTAAAAATACATGCGGCTTGCCAATTCTGTGCGGTGTGGAAATAGACTGTGGAAGACCCAAAACGATCCTGTAAAATAATGGAAAACTACTCTTCCTTTGACCGACACGTGGTGTGGGAATAGGAAGGTGTTTAAAAAGCAACACTGTCACCTAGTGGCGTTTTATAAGAATTGCTATGAGTACGCGTGCAAATAAATGTATGTTTACATTGATTTGTCAATGGTATATGTCACAATATTAATATTTGAGCACACGCACCACTACAGGGGTGGTTGGTGCCTTAGCAGTTGTTTTTTCCAAATATAATGTGACCCATTCACATTTCGCCAGGGAACACGGAAAGTAGCTAGCTCCGTTAGCTCAGCTGCCTACGTCTTTGTTTAGAAAGCTAACAGCACACTATAATCTTACGGTTAAAACAATGCTATAACTAGGGGTGCGCATACATAAATTAGTCTGGTCTGGTACTATTTTGTCGGGGACGGGGGGGCGTGGGGGTGTGGCAACAGATTCATCTACCTCACTGGTGAACTGAAAGACCGATAGTAAGTGTTGGTGCTCTTTGCGATTGGTCAATCTGTGCTTTCGGCTGACTATACAGCCTACCACATAGCTTTATATCTGCTATTATTTTTTTAAAATAATTTTACAGATAAATCGGATACGTTGCTTGACTTGGAGCAGAAAAAGGTATGTTTATTGTTTTTTGAGGGATAAAAATGATAATAAGTCAGCATTTTTCTGTGGTAGTTTTGGGATTTTGGAAATGGAGCAAAAAAAATAAAAATAAAAAAAAATCCCGTAAAACTTTTAAAACCTACAAAATGTGCTGGTCCTCTCTCCTGTACTGTGATTGCATAGTTTACCTTCACGTGCTACACGTGTGCACAAGTTGCGCCTGCCATTCCCGCTCGCCTATAAGCCGGCGCTTATCTTCATCTATGAAAATGGAAATGTACATGGGAAAGGGAGGGTGGAGTGGATTGGTTGTGGCGGGGGGAGCTGCAGAAAGAGGAGATCATCTCCCTCATTTGCGTCTTGTTACTCATGGGCGCGCTGTCATCCTTGAACTTTTCGCAGCAGAGATTTCACGTGAGATATGCTGACTTGGTGTTGGATGGTGCTGCAGTTAATTTCCCTTCCAAGAGGGTCGCTGTCCATCGAGTGGCGTGTTGAGGCATGTCGGTCCCAAGCGGCTTCACTCGAAATTGGACATGCTGCCCCTCCCATTCGAATATCCAATTAGCACTTGGCAATTAAACATGCTTCCTTGGGATGGTTAAGAAGCAAACTCAAGCGGAGCATTTGTTCTCCAGGCGAATGCAATGGTCCATCATGACTAATTTATTATTTACTTATATTGATCATATTCATTGCTTACTGTTATACGTTTATGGAAAGTTTGATGCGGCACAAACAGAAATTGGCATTGTATACCTAGATTGTAAAAAATGATACAATGTGGACCGACCAAGCCCGGAGTAGATTCCTAAAAGCAGTACTAAATAAAGGCATTGCTTTAAAAAAAAAAAAAAGTACAGATTACTGCACGTGCGATAGTGTCTGCATGCACACATCAATCCCAAAACAAAACCATGTGACAGTCAACATCCACTATTTTCAATCCAAAAATGTGTTTTTCGATGCGTTTTATGTGTGTAAAAGTTCTTCATTGTGACATTATGCAGTGCCTGCCAAATATCGAGTGTATATTATCGTGCATCATGTTGAGTGTTCCCATCCCATCCGTGGATTTGTCCAAGTGGAGTGTCAGAGCAGCGACCGCCATAAGCTCATTTCCTGTCAGGCAGGAAATCATCGACTCAGCTCATAGGTCGCTTTCTTTACATCTGTCAGCCTTCTGATTAACATACTTGGTCAGTGGCATGCACTCGAAGGGATTTGAATGAGAAAAGCATGGGGACATTGTCTTGCGTTGTAAGATGAAAGCTAAGGGTAAATGGATTTATTAGACGGTATATTGTCAGGAATGTGAATGAAAATATAATAACCTCTGCCTTTGAAGCCTCACATCCACATGAAGACCCCTCCATACTCTGGCAGTCAGTCAATCGGATGCCTGACGTTGATTTTTTCCCCCCCCCGCGCCTTGCAATTTTCCTTTCATCGTCACATCAGTAAAGTAAATTACCCTCGTGACACAGCCCATTCATCCATCATGTCTATGAAGTATTTCATTTACGATGTTTCTTGTACATTTATTTGTCTGGGAGTTGCATCGTGTGTTATTCTTATTCATATGCATTGAGTGGCTGCTGTCGTGACAGAACACCCTTGATACAAACCCCAATTGCGGTGAAGTTGGCATCACTCATGCAGTTGTTTTGGAGTCTGGGGTCTCCGTTGTTGTACAGTATTTTATATCTCCTTAATCCCCCCACACATTTCCAATGGGAGACAGGTCTGGACTGCTGGCAGGCCATTCTAGTACTCACACTTATGCAGAATGTGGCTTGTTATTGTCTTGCTGAAATAAGCAGGGACACCTCCGTAAAAAAAAGTTGCATGGACCTTTCAGCATGAATGGTGCCTTCACAGATGTGCACGCTTGAAGATTTAAGTGAGCACGATTACATAAGAGAGATACTGCACAGTATGTTTGACAGATTGTGATGGCATTTGTTTGGGAATCTGATGGCGTGTGGGTAGAATCTTCTTCTTTAGTCTTGTTGTTCTGGCTGGGGCACTCCTGCAGCGTCTGCCAGATGGGAAAAGTTTGAAACGTGTGCTGTGGATGTGTGCTGTCTCTGATAATGTTCTGTGCCCTCTTTGTGGCACGGCTGTCAAATGCTGTATGTGGCAGAGTGGTGTGAAGGCTGTTCCACAGATGTGTTGTGCAGTTTTAATGACACTCTGGATAGCCATCCTGTTCTGTACAGTGCAGTTCCCCGACCAGACTGTGTTGCATGCTCTCCATTGTGCATCTGCAGAAAGCATGTTGGGGGCAATCCCAAATTTTCTCAGCCTCCTCCGTTGAGCCTTGATGGACATTTTTCCAGGAACAATATTTGATTCAAAGCATGTATGGTCATCAGATACAGATGCAAGGAGAGAAGCCCGAAAATGTCACTGAAAGTGCTTTCATGTGATTAAAAGACACATTATATTTCGAAAAAGAAGTGAAATAAGTATTTGGTCATGGAATTTTTTTTAATTGCCATTAGGATTATGCGGGCAATCTTGGGAAAAAAAAAAATCATCCTTTCAAGGTCATTGGTGAGCAATATAATGAGGGGTGGGCTACCTGAGCTCAGCTGAGCAGTTCAACGGAGACATTTTCGGTGGTCAAAGCAAACCTTGAGCATTACCTTATGCATGCAGAATTTTTTTTCTTTTTTGGGTATCTTTCTTTAGCTGAGGGTCAAGGATGCTACCTGTTATTATTCCCCAAGGGGATCCACGGCACGCTTTGATGTGCATCTCGGTTTCTCCCGTACACACTGTCACGCTTTTGTTCTGAACAAACAGCATAAAGACTAACAGCACCTTTGATAGACAGAGACGCTGTGATATGTCTTCTGGCGTGTGCGCTGTTTGAACAGCTATGTGTCTGATGTCAGCTGCACTAGGCTACGCGAGCTGTTTTAAAAATAGTTGCGTATCATTTCAATGCTTGAGTGGGTTATAGCCCTTTTTTTAATATTCACATTCAACTAAATTCACCCCCAATGTTCCTACAATTACAGAAGCCCAACAACCTGTATATCGCACACTAGTTTAAACACTATTGAATACAGCAATACTACTGCATACTGATTTTAGTAAGCCCTTCAAAGTATTCCAACTCACTGGTCTTAAACAACTACATTAATCACTGAAACATGCGGTACTATTGTCCTCTTGCCACGATGCAATCTCAGCCCCAACTCCTGGACATATTGAACCCCACTCCTTCTGAATCCTGCTGACTGTATCAACCCTACCGCATAGTAACCCCCTCGCTATAGAAACCGCAATGTAGTAAACCCTGCCCACTATCCAAACCAGTGTGATGTCGGAAAAAATTCCCCCTATACTGAAGACGATAAGATTTTACGCTGCATCTATTGCATCCATCAGCACTTCCTACTGAACCTCATTTGCTACTGTATATTACCTACAGCAACCTTTACTGCACTACTACATTTTGTACAAAGCCCACCATATCATCCGGCAATTCAGATCGAACCCCACTTACTATGCAACTACAGTAACTTAACCCCACCCTCAAGCGCGGATACGCATTGAACTCGGCCCGCTGAACTCATCACTGCAAGATACCAAACCCCATAACTCCATTTACTACTAATGAAACTTCACCCACTACAAGAACCACCACACACTGAACCCAACCCACGACATTAACCTACTACACATTTCACCTAATCTACTCTAACAAACACTACAACATATTGAACCCTACCACTATACCAACTGTGAGATATGTATTCGTGTCCTTTCAGTTGGCCTGATTTTTGTCTGTCCGGGTGTGTCGCCAGTACAAGCAAGTGGAGCAGTACATGTCCTTCCACAAGCTGCCGGCAGACATGAGGCAGAGGATCCACGACTACTACGAGCACCGCTACCAGGGCAAGATGTTCGACGAGGAGAGCATCCTGGGGGAGCTGAACGAGCCTCTCCGAGAGGTATGGCAACCGGCGGCGTCTGGGGACGTGGATAATGGCGCACACCCGGCATATGGAAAATAAACCCGCCCGCTGCTTGGCATTCCCCACGGTTCACTTCACATTTGCTGACATTTTACCTTCACACCGGCAGTGATGGAGGATCTCAGGGAAGGAAAAACAAATGTCATTGTTTCCTCTAATATCCTTTCCTTCGTGAAGTTGTGTCAGGTCATTGCCTTTTGTCAACCACTGTTGTTTTTCTCCGTCTGGCAGGAAATCATCAACTTTAACTGTCGGAAACTGGTGGCCTCCATGCCGCTGTTTGCCAATGCCGACCCCAACTTTGTCACCTCCATGCTCACCAAGCTCAAATTTGAAGTGTTCCAGCCCGGGGACTACATTATTCGAGAGGGCACCATTGGCAAAAAGATGTACTTCATCCAGCACGGCGTGGTCAGCGTGCTAACCAAAGGCAGCAAGGAGACCAAGCTGTCAGACGGCTCCTACTTTGGTGGTAAGCAGGCTGCTTTTTGAATAATGGCTATTATTTCGCCGATATGAACTCCCTTTGAGCTTCCGGTGGAGTGTTTTGTGCTGGTGATGGTCACCTCGCTTCAAAATTCGCCCTCATGGTTTATGCAAGACTTCTTCCCCCCATTCAATTCACATCACAAGCTGCCTCTTCATTGTAGGACAAATCCTGATGAATAAACGGCATCGTGCCGCGGCTTAAATAGAGCAGTACACATTTGAAGGTCTGCTCGGTCACCAAAATATGAGCAGCTTTTGTAGTGTGTACAGCGCTATGGCGAGATAAACATTGTATGATTTTTATACGTTTTTAAGTTCCGTCACACACTGTTCATCGCCTGCCACTCAAAGTCAAAGCTGACAAGATTGTGACAATGTGCGTTTCCAAGTGTTGTCCACTGTTCAAACAAATCAAGAAGACATTGTGGAACATCTCAGATCGCCATTGCTACAAAAAATTGAGTGAAAAATCAGCTTGATCGGGAGCTACAAACGGCTTGAGCCACATAGTAGGAAAGATACAGCACCTACTTTCTTATTTGCGTCATTGTCGTCCATTTATGGTTGTAACGCGTGTCTCTAAATTGTCCACTGTTGAAATGACTCAAAAAGTGAGTCTTCCGTAGCTACATTCATCCATTCAACCGTCCATGTGTTTGCAAACATAGTTATTTATTTATTTTTTATTATCTTTTTTTTTTTTTTACCAAAACCATGAAGATAAATACATTTTTGTTACCTTTTGGGATAAACCTACGGAACGTCAACGTGCACGTTCAAGCCCTGCTGTTTGAATGGCAGCGAGTCAGCAGGAATAGGGATTCCCGAATAAATTACGATATAAACACCACTATAAGGATTCATTTTGCAGTTGATTCACTACTTGATCCATCCATTCATAATCTGAACCGCTTATCCTCACAAGGGTCACGGGCGTGCTGGTGCCCATCCCCGCTGTCTTCAGGCAGTCGGTGGGGACACCCTGAACCGGTTGCCAGCCAATCGCAGGTCACTATTCTTTACCAATTACCAATTGCCATGGAAAAAGCGTAAAAACAGCACCATCTACTGGATTTCAAAGTTTGCCAAGGTCATTTTACCCTTAAGTCAGTCGACTTCTTCATCGGGCGTCACATGATGTGTGGCAGTCGCTTGACGCGTGCGGGGCGACACGACCGCCATCTTGCCCTCACCAAATATGGATTCATTTGCCCGGCGACGGCGTATCATTTAGCCGGTGCTGTTAAGTAATGAGAAATGGCGGCGAGGCGTTTTTATCGGCGCATGCGACCCGGCTTGCGAAGTTTAATTACGCCTTGGCTGCTCAAGTTCGTCTGCGTGCCCTCTCGCTGGGGGGTTCCAGAGAAATAATGAAAAGATGGCAGGCAATCTCTCGCTCCCTCTTTCTTTCTCTGCACATGCAGAAAAAAAAAAAAACCTAATCAACATTCTCAGTAAACATGGCCATGCCTCTTTGTGAGGCCAAACGATGTTCTCTCCCTTCGCTTTGTCCTCGTCGAAGCTATAGTTCAAAGTCAAGGCAATGATGCGCCGCCATAGTTTCTGCAAACATTAATCTCGGTAATGCATCCGTCTGTGTTACAGCATGAACACCGACACCAAGATGAAAAGCCTAAAGTGGGGTACGCCCAGAACAATTTTTAACATCTAAAACAAATTGCGATAGAACCCGCACAAACACAGTCAGTGTGCTCTTATCTTCTCTTGTGGTGTGTGGTTTCTCCGAGATGACCAACACACCACACACTTAACGATATCTCTTCTGACAATCCTCCGTCTCACACCAAAATGCTGCTGTAGTACTAAGCCTGACCTGTGAGAAGCAACATTGCACCACAGGGCAAATAAAAAGAATGAAAGAGTCACAAAGAAATAGAAGAGGCTAGGCTAACTGTTAGCTTTACTGGAAATTACATGGCCCTTGTCTTTTTATTGTCGTGAATGACGTGCGAGACACGTTATACAAACAGTCAAAGCCAATCACTTGCTCCTTTATTTTGCATCAAGTTGCTTCCGAACAATGTGGTGACTACACACTTGAGGCTTTGCGATTATAAATATTGAACAAGATTACGATCGTTGGCCCCAACTGTTTTCAGTGTGTGTCGGGGAAGGGGGAAAAAAAAAACACTCTGAATGCACCTCACACGTGATCATCATCAAGGGACATCCGATCATTTGTCGCACAGTCGTCAGGCATACTCATCGCACTTACTATATTACCTCAGAAAAGCACCTTATTGGTAATAGTGTGTTACTCACTAAAGGTTGTATGTTGGATGTTTTATAATTAGCGAGGTCATGACACTTGTCTATACACAGTATATATAGTCCATACACTGCACTGTATAATGCACACGACACACTGATAAGGTTCAAATGCATTATCTGAAACACAAACTCACTCACACTTTGCTCCAATCTGAAGTCTTATATCCGCAGTCATTCCTCCCCCAACACTTTTATGCTTTTGACTCCCACATTGTGTGTCTATTTCTGGCAGTGCCACTCCTATGGGGGGTGGGGGGCATGAGGGGCGAGGGGCGGGAAGGCTACTGAGGTAAGCCCTAAGCCACAGGGAGTTTGTTACCAAACATGGGTTAGTCATTCATGAAATTAATTGGCAGGATCAGCACTGGGAGGATGTGGCACACGCACATTTCGCTGTGACTGTCACTATCTGAACGAGTGGGAATTGAACAGTAACTAAAATGGCATTCAGGAGAGGGCAGACCGCCCACCAAGGCTGAGTTATTAAAATTTGGATCTTCACCAAACTGTACACTCTGTCTTATTGTCACCTTCCTTAAATACAATGTTGTTGTTGTTTTTTTGTGGTTTTTCTTTCACCACAGCAAAAAACATATTTTTTCTTTGCAGTTTCTTATCACCAGGGGGAAAAATATGTTAATTGCAAATCACAAAACTCTGCAATTCAACTTACCCATCCCTCTATTGTAAGTAGTTGGTGTGTTTACTCAAAGTTTGGACCGTAACTTCAAAAACCTAAAGTACATTCACTCGTAGGTGAAGCTACCACATATTCGAAATGGTATTTCTATTATATCATGTGGTGAAATGCCAACAAATTGTGTTTCGATTGGGTTACCAGTAAAGATTCTGTTTGACCTAAGGGCTCCACTGTTCACTATGTGTCCTGGATGTTGTGGAGCTTCCTTTTCTTTTTTTTTTTAATTGAAGCCAAAAAGCGTTAGAGGGCCTTTTGGTTTACGCTACAGAGAACCTCCGTGCAAAAATGCACATCAGCATGTCAGCGAAGCCATGTTAGCGTAAGTCATTCATTCATCGAGACCCTGAATTATTTACGCAATTATGTACTCAGCAGTCTGCTCCACTTTGTGCGCTGCTGGATAAGCTTGAGCCGGAGAGCCTTAATGTCTAAAGTGGACACGACATGTCCTGGACGGGAGCGTCAGCTTGGGCACCCAGCGATCCCACCAAGAGGGGGAAATGTAATGTGACTGCAGCGCTAATGCCGAGGGACACATGAAACGCTGCCAAGCCTGCTCTCTGGATGCTGCTCTGGGCTCAGGAAGACAACATGCGCTCGCCCCCACCTCCTCCACGCACCCTCTACCCTCATCCTCTCCTCTGCTCTCAGTATTGGAACACTTATCCGAACAGCATCGCCACCGCTGCCCGTCTCGGCGGCCAGCCCAAGAACCTTATTGTGTGACGTTATACTTCATCCTTTGTTGGCTGCGGCAATGGTGGGGTGCAGGGCTCGGTGACCTTGTGTTGTGCCAGGCGGAAGTGCCTCTCAAAGAGCTGCCTTTGATTGGACCTCAAAGACGCCTACTTTTTCCTTTGGGGGTAAAACGTGACATGTCGCCATGCGCCGTATGGCGAGGGTGGAGGAGACTAAGCTAGACTCAATCATAATGGCGCAAACTCATATGCACTCCATACAATATATGCATAAAAGTGATGGGATATTGCCACTCTGTATTTTAAGTTGAAAATGAATGGACTCAAAACATCTCTCTGAGGAGCTCCCACACAAAAAACAATGAAATAAAATGGAGCCACCCATCTGTCTTGTGTCGCAGGAATAGGTGCCTCATCTATGTATATTTATATATTTATTATGAATTGGGAAAACAGTGGGCACTATTGAAGGACACACTCTATTTTGGGGTCAAGTCTTGTATAGTTGCTTGAAATTTTGGTAAAAAAAAAAAGTTTGACCCCTGGAAATGGCCAAAATGACCTTAAAGTGGCCGCTCCAAAACAAAACGGCGGACTTTTTGTTCGTTTTTTGACAAACATTCTTGAGACTTATTTGTAGATCTGCTAAAACCCCAAATTTTAGGTTGCAGTGGGAGATCATGGGAAATGGACTCAGACCTGAGTTTGTGGTGATGGAGAGTGTGGCTGTGTCATCATTTTAGATTTTACTCACGGTGACGGGTTCTCTGTGACGTAATCTCTCCTGACGTGCAGAGGTAAGGAAACTAATAGGCCTTCAATCCCAGAGTTGCGAGCAGAGTTCTCAAGCTGACATATGGCCGACCTCTTCCAGTTAGTTAGTGAGGCCAGATGTAGTCTTCCACCAGCAATGAACTTTGCATGATTTATTCAGCGGCAACATTGCCTTAAATGTGGTACACCTCAGCAATCTAATAGAATCCAATACAGAAGTTGCCAAATATTTGAATACCTTCACCCTCTCATATTGCAGGCTCTGTCTTGTTGCAGGTGTTGCTGAATCTCTCTGTGACTTTCAATATTAAAAATGACTAAGGATACCTTGAGTTAGTCATCAAGTGTGCCATAGACCTCTTTATTCCTCATCAACAATTGTTCTTTATCTTACTAAGACAAATCTGGAATTCCAGTGAAGAGAATTTTGCATTTAGTGATCAATAAGTATCAAAAGTAACATTACTTTCCAGTATCTGAATCTGAATCGCCCTTATTGTCATTGTATGCGGGATAATT